TGTACATGTAGATCATTATGCGTATTACATGTATATACTATGCGCATATGCGTACTATGCGCATAGTGCGCATAGTGATGAACTATGCGCGCATTTGCCCATCTCTAGTTAAAACACATCATCCGACTTTGTGTTGATTCATGACGTAGAGCATTTATTTGGGAGGGTTTAATGTCATCTATACATGTACATGTATTGACCAGTATTTTATTTAGTTTGACGATTAATTTTCATTTATTTAGTTAAATTATAAAGTTTGACCGAAGGGAAGGCCAAGTTGTTTGAGAAAAATTAGGTTAAAAACTTATATTATTAACTTGTATAAATTTAATCCAACTCTTATCTGGGTTTTGTTCAGCTGGTTATTTCCTATAATTTGCATAATATCCTATTTGGTGACGAATATTTTGCTTATTGCTAACCTCATTTATTAATCTGGTAAAATTGCGGAAATAACTATAACAAAATATATGATGTTTAATTTGAGCGAAGGTGAAACCTACTCTGTTCGACCTGCCCGTGTATACCAAAATAATACGAGCAACCATACGTGACATGCGCTTTTACATATATTTATATAGGTATAGGAAAAATTAACCACAACTACATCGTGACTACATTGCACCTGACTCAACTCGGAGTCTGAATTTATAGAGTATGATATATTTTTAGATATCAAATATTATCCTAAATCTTTTAATTTTATTATTGAAAAATATCGAGATTATATGATATTACACACGAATTTCTATTCGTAAGTTGAAAAGATGCGGAAAAAGAGATATAGAATAAGTTACGATATTGCGAACTAATAATTTTCATCAAAGTTGTGGTATACATCCAATACATGTACCCATGCATGATCCAAACTGACCAGGCATATTTTTACAATCGCACTTTATGGCACATGTGAATATGCGTCGGAAAGTTGATACAATATTCAAGGGATCAAGAAGGCTTGCACAACTAATGGCCGTGATAGAAAAAGATGTTACATCAACACAAATTTTTTGCAAATCAGAGAGAGGGTTGAGGGAGGACGGAAGTGGCAGTGAAGAACATCCAATACAAGTGTCCAAACATGAAGGAAACTTATCAGCCACATTTTTACAGTCACACTTAATAATACATGTGATGATGCGATTGACAGTAGCAAGAAGATTTTCGGGATTAAGAAGGCTTGTGCAACTAAAAGCAGTGTTTACATCGGTAATGAGGTCAACGCAAATTTTTTGAAAATTAAGGTGTTTAAAAAGATCAACGAGAGGGTTTAAATCAGAATCAACGTGTTGAAAAAGATCAGTGAAAAAATTAGTGATATTATCTCTTGAATAATGAGTGTTAAGTGCTGTCGGTGTAGAATTCGATGGGTTGGGAGTATTTGTGTTGGGTTTTGAATTAGAATTTTTAGGTGCAATCAGTGTAGAATTAGATGGATTGGGATGAGAAGTAGTATTTGCGTTGGACTTTGAATTAGGATCGTTAGGTGCAGTCAGTGTAGAATTAGATGGATTGGGATGGGAGGTAGCATTTCTGTTGGGCTTTGAATCAGGATTGTTAGGTGCAATCAGTGTAGAATTGGATGGGTTGGGATGAGAGGTAGTATTTGTGTTGGGCTTTGAATTACGATTGTTAGGTGCAGTCAGTGTAGAATTGGATGGGTTGGGATGAAAATTATTAGATGGGCACCCAGTGCATTGTTGGTCGGCACAACAGTAGCTACGCCCATTACCGGTCGAACAGCAACCATGCAGGCAATCACCCACATATTTGCAAATTCTGTTACCACATTGAAAGATAGAGCCAGGATCGCAATCTGAGGTCCAAAACAAACACACGTTAGTGACGAGTAGCAAAAGAATCGATGAAAAATTTAAATGAAATACAATTATTTACGATTATCTAATTCATAACCACATGCGAGACCGCCGACTTTATCACTTTGATCACTGGTATTAGCATAATCACAGTCGGCGAAGAAGGTTCCATAGATGAGAAAGGTGAAGAAGCTCAAGAAAAAACTAATAGAGTAGTTCATTTTGTTAAGTTAATCGTTGTATTGCAAAATTTTTCGTCAATCATGGTAGGCAAATTGAACTCTTGCTCTTATAGCCGACTTTTACTATGAAAATTTAAGCCATCATTGTTGACCCTAACTTGACGCTCATTTATCAAAAATCTTGTCCAGTTTTTAGTTCAATTTGATGATCATTCCCGAACAAATTATAGATATCGCTTAGTAAGCATTTTAATGGAACCAAATATATAAATATAAGAAAAAACTTTTGATAAAGCGGATCTTTAAATTAGAGAGTCCGTAGTAAATGCATATATATAGTAGTTCATTGTCATAACATAATTACATGCCGTCTCATTTTTTTTATTATCATTTACAAACATCCGCGTTACAAATGCATTGCATTTATAAAATGAACTCAAAGATGGAATCGAATACTTAAACTGTGACGATTGTCGATATGTAATAAAATGATATTGTAGATCATGTTCGATGCTTAAACTGTCGAACATGTGCATGTACATGTACATGTATATAGGAAAATGTCAAAAAAATGGTCATTGTCGATCAAGTTCTGATTATCAAAAACGTAGAGATAAAATATATCGGGCGTCTTTTTTATAATCTACGCACAAATTCTCATTCACAGCACACTACAAATATTCCTTCTATGAATTCTTTTCTTTTTATTATCACGCGCCATTTTACGATAAGTATTATTACTACATGTATTTATTTCGTCTCACAGCAACCTTCTTTACTAATCGCTAATTGAAGATCCGGAGTATTGATGAAAAAAAATAAAAAGATCTGAAGACTAATTTCTAAGATTAACACAATGTAATATTAATACAAATGATAAAATATGAAAAAGAAATGTTGACGCAGCAAACACATGTAGTACTATATTCTCGATATGTTGTCTGATAGGTTGGAACTATGATCTCCTTATTTGTAGTGTATGTTACCTCATATAAGGACTTCTATACATTTGTACGGAAAAGGAATGTAACTTGGTAAGCCAAAGCAATTAGAACTCGTACGATAATGTTGACATATTTCACTAAAAAAAACTTGGACCATAGCGAAAATGCAAATGAGTGAAGAGTCGGACTCTAACCTAAGCCCGCCAAAAGCTTCTTTAATGCTGAAATTATTTTCGTATTGAATTAATTTTCGGTATTTTGAGAATTGTTTCTAGGCATGAAGTAAGGAAATATCGTCTGGAAGAACAAAACATAGTTGGTTCAACAGAGCATATGCAATTATTATAAAATGATGTTTCAGCCTTTAAACTTCGTCGCGCAATCAAAAAATATGCGATTCATTTTGAATGTTCAATTAATACAGAGATTTAATGTCAATTTTTCACCGCCTCTTGTCACTAATCTGGTTGTTCAGACATTTCGGCTGACTGTTTTTATTTCATAAAGTTGGATTCGGTAAGAATTCATCCATTTGGAGATTTGGGTCACGATCTTCGTCATTGTTTTTGGACTTCCCTAAATAAGAGCAACAATTCGGCCGATGTGTAATTGGCGTCTCGATAACATTTTACGTCCAGTAAAATTATAACAAATGCAAATATTTTATTCAAAATGGAGGATCCTTATGCAATAAATGTGACTGATTAAAATGAAATGTCACAATAATAATTATAATATGTGATAAAAAAGAATTATACTAATAAACTCCATAGTATTTGCTGTATAAATATGATTACAAAATTAAAATTATCAAATTTCTTTTCACAAAATACCAAAGATGTCTTTGCAAATCTATGCATTTTAAAAAATAATATATGGACGATACAAAGTTATTCGAGCTCTTAACAAATTATTTTTTAAAAATTAATTTTTTAATTCTGTCTGATTTATTTAGATTGTTAGGATTTATTTTAATATATGCATCACTCTTCACATGATGAATAATCAATAATTTATAGCAAATTAAATTGAATATTTTATCTTCATTTGTGGCATGCAAGTAGAAATCCAATTATTAAAATGAAATCTTTTCCATTTATTTGCTTCTTCCATGCATTTTCAATTAGCAAATTAAATAAGTCAGTATACAAATATTTTAAAATGCAATTCTGTTATTATTAATAGAAAATAACTAACATTACGCTGCATGGTTCGTTTTTTGATCTTAAATTCGGACTTTTAACGTTTTTTCAAATCAAACTATTATAAAACTTATAGTTTAATGTTTATTTATTTTCTTATATGTGATATTTTGAAAATTAATTTTTATATTATATTCATTTAATATTTAATTAATGTTTGTATATGAATATTTATTTTTAACTTTATATTGTCACAGGTGGGTTTTATTTACACGAATTTAAAAATTTTGAGAACTATAACTGTGAATGGGAAAGAATGATTAGACTAATTTTACCTGTTGATCTAAATCCTATACTGACATCTACTGATAATATTATTTTAATTAGAAATATATTTTTATTAATTGAATCATTTTATAATTTTTTCATTCTTATAAATTGTAATTAGTTATTTTTATATATCACAGTAAGTAAATCAATATTAATCTAATTATGATCTTCTTATCAATTAAATAACATTGATAATTTGAATTTATTTCTAAAATAATATGACACAAATATAAATACAAACTTAGATCTTGTGTCTAATCTAAAAAAGTCAGGCACTTTTTTAGGTATTGGTATTGAATATATCATCTGATTCTAATATCTAATATATCTAAATAGATACTAGTTATAAGTCTAAACTGATATATTATTTTTTAAAATACCTTTTAGTATTAAGTTATTAATATAATCAAATAATAAACTTTAATATAATAACTAAAGATCATACTGTAATAATCAAAAATAATATAATAGAAATTGAAAATTATTAAATCATAATATCTTTATAAATAAATAACAAAATTTAATAATATTAATAAATATAATTTATTAATAATCTCAACTTTATTTATTAAAATTTAAATTATTATTATTAAACATAATTTTGAGATAGATATATAAACTTATAAAAATAAGCATTTGTATTTCTTTTGATTTTTTATTTCAAGAGATCAAATAGTAAGCAATATTTATAAAAATTATAAAATAAATAATTATTTTATTTATCTTTTTTTCTTAAATCATTTTATAACTTTTTAATGATAAAAAAATATTAAAATATTATATAACTCTTAAAAAAAAGTCAAATATATTATAAAAAAATAGCAAGAACTTATAAAATTAATTCTTATCTCATTTTATATATTAATAAAAAATGATATAAATAATATATTTTAAAAGATATAAGTAAGTCTAATTATTTATAATTATTAAATAACCAGTTAAAAAGAAGAATAATTCATCTTATTATATTTTATAACTATTTTACTATTAAAATTATTTTTAAAAAATTAAAAATATTAAAATTTTAAATATATTATTTATTATTTACTAAAAAAAATAATTTAATAATAAAGAATAAAGCAAAAATATTATATCTAAAATTCAAATATTAATAATATTATTTTAAAAATACAAAAATCAAAATTATAAAAATTAATTAAAGTTAATATAATCTAATAAATCTAAGTTCTAGATTTTTAAAGCTAATAAAAAATAATAGTATTAAAAAGAATAGATAAATAATTAAAAAATCTAATAATTAAAAAATTATTATATTAATTTATAGTAGAATATAAGTAATATATTATGTTAATAAATTCTTAAAAATCCTATAAATATAATTTAAAAATATAAATTATTATTAATAAAATTATTTTTTAATAAAATAATAATTTATAATTTAATAATAATAATAATATTAGTGTTATAATGAATTGGCAAGTGGATTATTACTTGAATTCATCTTAACAATATTGGATTGGGAGAGACTGAAATAATTAAAGAGTAATGAGAGGGAAATTAGATTATAACTTTCAATAATAATAAAGATTCTAAGATCTGTGTCAATATCTACAAATATTATCTTAATAAAAGATAATTAAATAAAAAAAGTAAAATATAAATCAAAGAAATTATAAAAATTGATTAATAAAATCACTAATAATTAATATAATTCAAAACTTAAAGTTAATTGAATAGTAAAATCACTATTAATTAAAAAAGACTATTACTAAAGAAAAAAGAAATAAAGAAAACTAAAATATTAAAACTAAATAACTAATAAAAAGTGTGACTTATTTATAGTAGAGATCTTTTATTTTCAAATAAAATAAAAAAAATATCAAGAATATGACTTATTTATAGTAGAGGTTATCTATTCTCAAAATTAAAATAATATTATAATTCAAAATCAAAAATCTAAAATCAACTTTATATGATCAAAAAAATAAAACTGAATGTAAGATAGAGTACTAATATAATCAAATTATATTTTCTAAATAATTCAAACAAAACTATGAAAGAGTACTAATATAATTTATACTTTCTAAATAAATCTTGACAAAACTATTTATTTTAGCTGAAATAGTAGATTCTTTTATAATTTTTTGAATATAAAAATTATTATAGTATTACTAGCTAATGCTATCTAATATATATATTATAATTTAAAATACTATAGTATAAATTTTAGAAATATATATATTAAAAGATGTTAAAAGTCATTAAAAGACATGAAGGATTATTAGAATACGTGAAAAGATATAAAAAGTTATCAAAAGTTATGAGAAGTTATAAAAAGTTATCAGAAGTTGTGAAAAATTATAAAAGTTATCTGTAATTAATATATAATCATTTCACCAAAATTAAAAATGATCTTTCATTATACTACTCTATTATATATATAA